ATCGACCTTTGCATTTTCCTGTTATCTTTATGTCGCACCTTTATGTGCCTTGAAATAAAATAAAATCCGAGGCCGAGAGTGTACAGGGCAGCTGGGTTTTCTTGGATAGCAACTCTCAATCAAAAGCCGACTCAAGCAGAATTTCGGATCTATGATCAAACCAACGGTCTTACCGATGCAAGGACGTCCAACTGTTGCAACCGATCCCAAGCGATTCTTCGTTAATTTTGATAGCTCTAAACATCCGAAATATATTGGTAGCTAATTCCAAGTTTGAAGAAAAGTGAGTGTCGGCGTGCTCTTTCGCAGCTTGGCACCACTCCGAAACCGCAGAAAAATTTTCAGAAGGAAGTCGCTCACTTTCATTTATGGAAGCGGCGGTAACTTCGTTTACCATAGCAAACATTCTGTAGCGATCATCCTTGATTTGTTTCTCTGCACATACGAATTCGTACTTCTTTCCGCCAGACGGTTGCGCGCGGTTTTTGTTTATTACAGGAGAGACAATCCTTCCGAGAAAGCAGTGACTCCCAAAAATGTCATTCAGGAATCGTTTCGCTGAAAATGAACATCAAGAGTTACCCAAATTACAGTAATTTAAAAAAATCAGTGGAAGACCTACGCTGACTCTCCAGCGATCGTGGTCGAATCCAAGGTAAACACACGAAACAAGTAGAATCGGTGCAATTCAACCAGTGAGAAATAACTGCTTGAGAGCGAAGACAATTCTCATCTAAAAAACGCAAAAAAATCCATGTAAAGATCCCAACAACAAACCTGTACAGTTTCTCTGATAGTGTGTACATTCATGCATATGACACCAACGAATCCCGAGTCTCATACAAGATATTTTGCCGCACCACAATGGATCATCTCGGCGTAGAATCTAGAAAAATCATAGAAAAGACATTTATAAACACTTTAAAAGAGGTTTAGTTTTCTGAGCAATATTTTCTCTTACAAAACTGACTGAAGGCTCATCATCGATAAAAATGATATACAATCATTACGTAGATACAATATAATACAAGAACTTAAACATACCGAGCAAGGACAATGTGATCTAAGTGCATGGATAAGATCACCGAGGTAATCACGGACTTCCTCCTTGGAACCGAGTTCTTCTAATCCAGCTGGAAGAGAAGCGTCTAAAGTGAAAATAGGTAGTAGGCACTGAGCGAGCTTCACACAATCCTGATCATCAGCGAAATAAATTCGACTGAGATGGAGTCCCATCTATAACATTCCCACCATAGCCCCAGACGATTGCGCTTTAGTGCAAAATCGTTATGATATTTGTGATCACATGACAGGTCACTCAAAAAAAGACAAAGTCTGAGCGAAATCCACGGTCATGTACGATAACGCCATTTCATCGAGTTACGGTAGGTACACGGTAAGTGGGTGAAAATTCCAGTCTTGCTCAAAACGTTGCATAGAGAGGTTTTCAAGCATGCTGATAACGAAAATCAGGTTTGCTC